GACCTACTCAAACTCAGACCTACTCCTACTCAGACTTACTCATGCTGAGACTCACGCGCGCCCCGTTCGCGGCCGTTTTGTGGGGATGCCTCTGTCCCAACATCCTTGGCTATCAGAGCAGATTGTGAGGATGTCTCAGGCGGGGCGCTGGTTTCAGCTCCCCCTGAGGGGAGCCGCCAAGGTTATCCCACGGTCCCGTTCGCGGCCGTTTTGCGGGGATGTCTCAAGCGGTTTGCCTGTTTTCTGTCCCAACATCCTTGGCTACCAGAGCAGATTGTGAGGATGTCTCAGGCGGGGCGCTGGTTTCAGCTCCCCCTGAGGGGGGCCGCCAAGGGTTATCTCACGCTCCCGTTCGCTGCCGTTTTGTGGGGATGTCTCAAGCGGTTTGCTTGTTTTCTGTCCCAACATCCTTCGCTTTCGGAACAGATTTGGAGGATGTCTCGAGCGAGGCGCTCATTTTCACGTCCCTAAGGGGAGCCGCCGAAAGGTTATATCACGATCCCGTTCGCGGCCGTTTTGTGGGGATGTCTCAAGCGGTTTGCCTGTTTTCTGTCCCAACATCCTTCGCTTTCGGAGCAGATGTGGAGGATGTCTCGAGCGAGGCGCTCATTTTCACCACCCTAAGGGGAGCCGCCAAGGGTTATCTCACGGTCCCGTTCGCGGCTGTTTCGTGGGGATGTCTCAAGCGGTTTGCAACATCCTTCGCTTTCGGAGCAGATTTGGAGGATGTCTCGAGCGAGGCGCTCAATTTTTCCCCATATCCTAAGTATGGGGCTCTTGTTATTGGCAGACCGCGCCGGAGGAACACAGGAACACCCTCACCTCCTCTCACTCAGACCCACTCAAACTCACTCATCACGCAGACTCACTCATCACTCAGACTCACTCATCACTCAGACTCACTCATCACTCAGACCCACTCAACCTCCGCGCCGGAGGAACCTCCTCCTCCTCCTCCTCCTCCTCCTCCTCCCTTCCAATCATCACTCAGACTCCCCCATCACTCAGACTCACTCGTCACTCAGACTCACTCATCAGTCATACTCACTCATCACTCAGACTCACTCATCACTCGGACTTAGTCATGACTCACTCACTTATCATTCAGACTCACTCATCAGTCAGACTCACTCATCGTTCTGATGTCGCTTTCGCAGCAGATTTGGAGGATGTCTCAGGCGATTCGCTCGTCTCAGCACTCTAAGGGGGGCGGCGGGGGGGTATCTCACTCAGTCCCGTTCGCGGAATTTTGTGGGGATGTCTCAGGCGGTTTGGCCATTTTCTCTTCCAACATGTTTCGCTTTCGGAGCAGATTTGGAGGATGTCTCAGGCGATTCGCTCGTCTCAGCACTCTAAGGGGGGCGGCGGGGGGGTATCTCACTCGGTCCCGTTCGCGGGATTTTGTGGGATGTCTCAACGGTTTGGCCATTTTCTCTTCCAACATGTTTCGCTTTCGGAGCAGATTTGGAGGATGTCTCAGGCGATTCGTTGTCTCAGCACTCTAAGGGGGGCGGCGGGGGGGTATTGCACGGGGTCCCGTTCGCGGAATTTTGTGGGGATGTCTCAGGCGGTTTGGCCATGTTCTCTTCCAACATGTTTCGCTTTCGGAGCAGATCTGGAGGATGTCTCAGGCGATTCGCTGGTTTCAGCACTCTAAGGGGGCGGCGGGGGGGTATCTCACTCGGTCCCGTTCGCGGGATTTTCTGGGGATGTCTCAGGCGGTTTGGCCATTTTCTCTTCCAACATGTTTCGCTTTCGGAGCAGATTTGGAGGACGTTCGCGCCCAGTTTGCGGGGATGTCTCAGGCGGTTTGGCCGTTATGATGCTGGGCATCTGTCGTTTTCGGAGCAGTTTTGGGAGGATGTCTCAGGCGATTTGCTGGTTTCAGCACTCCCAAGGAGGAGGAGGAGGAGAAGGAGGAGGAGGAGGAGGAGGAGGAAGAGGAGGAGGAGGATGAGGAGGAGGAAGAGAAGGATGAAGCGAGGAGGAGGAGGAAGAGGACGAGGAGGAGGAGGAGGAGGAGAAGGAGGACAGCATGAACACGGTAGGAGCAGAAGCAGGAAGGGGAGGATGATGATGAGGAGGATGATGATGATGCTGATGATGATGATGATGATGATGAGGAGGAGGAGGAGGACGTGGGCAATTCGAGTAGCCACGGCCAGACGATCGAGGTTCGATGTTCCAAAGCTTTAGGTTTTACTCAAACGCTTCCGCCTCACTCTCCTTCGCTCTCCGCTCTCCTTCACTCTTCTGCATTCATACCCACTCATACTCAGACTTAGTCACACGCAGGCTCACTCGCACTTAGACTCGCTCATATCCATACTTAAATTTACTCACACTCAGACTCACGCTCAGAACCACTCATACTCAGACTCGCTCCTGCTCATACTCATCATCCTTCGGTCCGCTCAAACGCAGACCGACTCACACTCAGACTGCCTCACATCCATACCCAATCACACTCGACTCACTGGCACTCATATTCATTAATACACACTTTTTCTCACACTCAGACCCACGCAAGCCCAGACTCACTCATGCTCAGACTCATCATGCTACGATCCGCTCAATCACAGACTGGCTCACACTCAGATTCGTCCATACTCAGACCCACTCGCACACAGACGCACTCGCGCTCATATTTACTCACACGCATACCCACTCAAACCCAGGCTCAATCGCACCCAGATTAACTCACACTCAGAATCAGTCGCTCTCAGATTTGCTATTGGTCGCACTCATGCTTGCAGACTGTGGGAGTGTCTCGAGCGAGCGGTTCGCCCTCGCACACAGGCGCCCATTGACAGATATCAAGAGAAAGACGTACCAAGAGAATGAGATGCACATATGGGGAGCCCCGCGTCGAATACCTCCCTAAATGGAGCCGCCAGGCGTTATCTCGCGGTCCCGTTCGCGGCCGTTTTGTGGGGATGTCTCAAGCGGTTTGCCTGTTTTCTGTCTAAACATCCTTCGCTTTCGGAGCAGATGTGGAGGATGTCTCGGGCGATGCGCTCATTTTCACGTCCCTAAGGGGAGCCGCCGAGGGGTTATATCACGGTCGGGTCCCGTTCGCGGCCGTTTTGTGGGGATGTCTCAAGCGGTTTGCCTGTTTTCTGTCCAAACATCCTTCGCTTTCGGAGCAGATGTGGAGGATGTCTCGAGCGAGGCGCTCATTTTCCCCCCCCAGGTGGGCCAGATTTTGAGGATGTCTCGATCGGTGGCCAGACTCGCGGGCACAGATTCTCCTCAGGATGCCACAGGAGGCTCCAACAGGCTCCAGGAGGCCCCAGGAGGCATCAGGAGGCCACAGAAAGACTCAAGAGGCCATAGGATGTCCCAAGAGGCTCTAGGAGGCCCCAGGAAGCTCCTGGAGGCCTCAGGAAGCCACAGGAGGCCCCAGGAGGCCAGAGGAAGCGCCAGGAGGCCTCGGAAGGCAACAGGAGGCCCCGAGAGGCCCCAGGAGCAGGAGGCCTCAGAAGGCAACAGGAGTGGCTCCAATCCCATGTGTTTTACGTATGCTCCTATAGATTGGGCCTCACCTGGAGCACGAATCCTTGATGTTATACGTATGTTTCTATATTTTGTTCTTCTCCTGTGTACTTATGTTCCTATAGGGCCTCTCCAGAGGCACGAGTCCTTGGTGTTTTATGTGTGTTCCTATAGATTGCCCCCTTCTCCTGTGGCTGCAATCCGCAATGTTTTATGTAAGTCTGTTGCTATAGATTGGGCCTCTCCAGGGGCACATATCCTCCCTAGGAGGTCCTGGGAGGCCCCAGGAGGCCCCAAGAGGCTCCTGGAGGCCCCAGGAAGCCCCAGTAGGTTTCAGGAGGCTCCAGGAGGCCCCAGGAGGACAGGACCCAGGCTCATGCGCAGAGACGCGCTCGTACTACTGAGGCTCATTCATACTCCAATTCATTCTCAGTGAGATTCATGACCAGACCGTCACAACTGAAGCCCGTTTATATTCGAAAGCTCTTGCGCCTAGACATTCACAGTGGACAGGTCCATGCGAATAGATGCACATATGGGGAGCTCCACGCAGAGAATAATTTTGTCTCCTTCGAAAATGGTAGATGGGACGCCTTCTGTGAAATCCTTCTTGCTTGGCCTGCGGGCCGATTCCGTGAAGACCTCCCGCTCGTTGGATTCGCGGACTTGCCGGACTCACCGGACGAGCTTGAGACGGTGCCGGGGGGCGCGGTTGGTCTTTGGGCACCCCTCTGGGTGCACCTCCGAGCCTCTCGGGGAGGCCTGCTGGCTGTGGGGGGGTACCTGCGAGCTGGAGGCGAAGCGGGCGGGGGGGGCCTCCTGGGGCTCTCTGGCCGGGAGGTGGGGGCGAGGGGGTCCCCGAGCCGGGGGCGAAGCGCGGAAGCGGGGGGGGGAAGGAGGGGGGAGCAGGCTCAGGGGGGGCTGGAACGGCACGGCGACGATGCTAGCGGCGGCGACGGCAGCGGCGGCGGCGATTGCGGCGGCGGCGACCAGAACGATTAAGCAGGGGCTTGGGGAATGCCTGGGGCCTGGGCTGCGAGTTGCGGGTTCTTGCAGCATGGTTGCCGCTGGGACGGGCGGCGACGCAACGGGATGAGGCCCCAATGCGCCCCAAGAGGGCTCCAAGAGGACCTCCAGAAAACATGCAAAATTGTTCATCCATGGGTTTTCCACGGTGCTTTTAGCGTTCTTGCCGTTTCGGGCGTCCGACGCCCCAAGACGCCCCCGTATGCCCCCAAGATCGCTCCAAGACGGCCCAAGATGTCCCCCAGCGGCCCGCAAGAGGGCCCCCCAAAGGGGGACCGTGCGAATGCGCGGGGGCCTCGGGGTGGCCAGGGGGCTGCTGGCCAGCTTCTCGGTCTGGCGGCTCCTCGGGTCCGAACCGGCAAGCACTAACAGGGGTGCTGTACAGCACGGGTGAGGCATAGAGGCAGCGGAAGGGCAGGAGACAAAAGGAGTAGACAGCCGCGCGCGGCCAGGAGGCCCTCAGAACGTGCAGATCGTCAATGTGCCAAAGCAAGCTCGGCGTACTCAGGTCATTCGCCAAATGGGTCCAACTCCCAGGTACCAGCTGCTGGCAAACACGACGGCGAAGAGGCAGCGGAGGGGATCTCCCTTTGCCGCTGAAAGTCCCAGGCGCCGATGAAGGCATGCCCCAGAGGAGCAACAACACATAAACAGAAACTTTCGGAGATCCGCGCGGACTTCTTTGACCTGCGCTGGCCACCTCTCCCTGGCGCGCGGAGCGCGCTGGGGGCCCAGCGCCGACCCGAGAGAATCTGCGCGGACCTCCGACCATTTATGTTTCTGCTATTTCTCTGGTTCTTCAGATTTCTGCAGGTCGCAAGTTCGGCGCCGGCGGCTATGCGGCGTTGGTGAGAAACGTTTAACCGATCCCCTTCCCCACTGGCATGGCCTTGGCCCAACTGGCCGACTACAACCAACCCGCATAACAAGGACGCACGACAAGGATGCAAGGGCCTTGGCCGACGCTTTGCGGGCGGGGCGCGGCCAGCAACAGCGGTCAAGCATGGGCCGAAGGGGAAGGATGCAAGGGCAACCTTGGAAAGTTGCTCGTCCTTGCTATGCGAGTTGACTGTGACCTCCCCCTGGTGGGAAGATTTGCGGTTCCCTTCGGGTTTCGCGATGCCACTGGATGAGGAGGGGGAGCGACGCGAAACGACGAGGACGCTGGGTAGGCTGATGGGGTTGAAATGCAATGGACCGGTGGGGATCGGGCACACGCTAATATGGATTACGGATCTGTGGATTCCTCTCTCTTCGTGGGGTGCAGGTCCAGAGCTGCAAAGACTGGGCGTTGGGTCAATTGCCCTGCTCGCCTGCTGCGCTGTTCTGCCGTGTCGTTCTGGCCCAGGGCGCTGCTGGTGCCACAGGGGGCGGATGCCCCCCCGTTTCAGCGCAAGGACGAGCGTGCGAATGTCCACGAGGGCAATGAGCATCCACCGCGTGTCAGCACAATGCATCGCCGAGTTCAAACTCCGATGAGCACAGCGACAACGCGCCACTGGTATACAAGTCCGCGGGCCTCCTTGTGGTCTCTTGGGGCCGTTAGGGGCGTTCTTCGCCGTCTGGCCCCTTTGGAGGCCGTCTTGGGGGCCTCTCGGGGCCGCAATGTGGCTCGCTTAGGGTCCTCCTGGGCCGTCTTGGGGGCCTCTTGAGCCGTCTTGGCGGTCTTCTTGGGCCACCTTGGGGCCCAAATGGGCCGTCTAGGGGCCTTCTTCGGTGCGTTTTGGTTTTGGGCCGTCTTGGAGGCTGCTTGGGCCGCCATGGAGGCGAGAACGCGAACATCTTTTTAAACTTGATGTAAGTCAATGTTTTTGGCCTCTGGAGGCGCTCTTGGAGGTTTCGTTGGGGCCCTCTGGGGCCATCTTGGGCCGTCTTGGGGCCGTCTAGAGGCCATATTGAACCGTCGTGAAGCTCCTTTGCGCCTCCAGGAGGCCCCAGAGGCCGATATCATAGACTTTCCATCTGCATGGTGCGTTTTAGGGCAGGGTTCCCATAATGTAAAATAACAGAACGTGTCGCAATTCTGCAATGATTTGAGTGATGCACGGGGTACATTGCATTCGGGCTTCCGCTCCGCTCCGCGACCTGCCCCCCTGACGGTCCTGGGGCTCGAAAACGGCACCCAGAAACCGAAAGAGGCAAAACACCTGCTCGAACCCAGAACCTCGACTCTCGCCCCCCACCCCCCCTTTGCAGGCCACCTCATCTTGGCGACGGCGGCGTGCGACGCAGCGAGGGAATTACCCAAGGCGTCTGACTCTTATGGGCCCCGAAAACCTGGCCGAAGAACTGGGCCACCGGCGTCGGTGTCGGCGCCGTTTCGACACGACGCGAACCTGTCGTCACGTGCTGACCCCTGGGGAAACAAAAAGATAGCGATACCGCTACTCCCTGGAGCTCTCCCGGGGTGTGCCTTGACTTGAATTTCGAAGCGAATCCAGCGGTGGCGACGAGGGCCACCGAGGACACCCCCAAATGGCGAAAACGAGGCAAGGGTACCGATGTCGATGCGACGCGACACGCCGAGTTGAGGGCCCCCCTGGGGAGGTCCTCCAGCGGCGGCGGCGGTTGATGGGGAGCAGGAGGGGGAGAAGAGGGGGTGCGCTCAAACACCTGCGCTGGCTCGCGCGCAGCCGCGCTCAGCTGGTGGGCGACGGCCCCGAGGCTGACGCCGCGGCTAGCGCCCTCGCCGCACGCTGGGGTGCCGAGCTCAGCACGGCCCTTCACTGGGCCACCTCGCCGCAGCTCCAGACGGCCCTAGGACACGAGGCCGCGCAGGCCTTCGCGGCGGCGCTGGCTGACGAGCTGGCGCGCTATGCGCGCGGGGGGAGCCGGCGAGGCGGGCGGCTGGCGCTGGGCGTGAAAGTCGCCTCCATTGTCGTCGCGGTGTCCTACTGGTTGGCGAAGGCGCTGGTGAAGCACAATGGGTGTTGAGGATGAAGCGCGAGCCCTTGGGACCGCAGGAGGAGGAGGATGAAGAGGGGGAGGAGACGGAGGAGGAGGATGAGAATGAAGAGGATGATGATGATGCTGCTGATGATGATGATGATGATGATGATGATGATGAGGAGGAGGAGGAGGAGGAGTAAGAGGATGGGGAGAAGGAGGGGGCAATGATGACGATTATGATGATGCTGATCATGATGCTGACGATAAATGATGATGATGATGATGATGATGATGGCGATGAGGAGGAGGAAGATCAGTGTAAACCCAAGATCCATCAACGAGTTCCATCCCCCGAAGCTCCCTCTTCATAGGCCCCTACACGGACTCGATTCCACTGAAGGAGGTGACCTGGTGGGAGACAACCGTTTGAGGATCCAAAGGAGTGCCAGAACTTGCTGCTCGGGATTCCAACGCCAACTTGAATGTTGCGTCTTGAGGATCCTGAACCGTGCCAGAGCACCATTCCTGGGACTTCGACACCACGACTTAATTGAACTGTTGCGCCCTGTCAACACAGACTCGCTTCAAAACACCGTTTCTGGTACGTTAGCTATGACATCCTGTAAAACTCGGGCAAGTTTTTTAAACGGATTTGCGGGGCGCTGGAGCGAAAACCACACTTTGAAAACCGCCCGCCCTCACTCCGCGAAGCTCCTGCAATTCGTTAGGACGAATGTGCGTGGCGCTAAAGCGAGACTCGCATTTTGAAAATGGCCCGCCTTCAATCCGTGACGCTCTTGAAACTTTTTTTTAACGAATGTGCGCGGCGTTGAAACGAAAACAACAATTTGGAACTCACCCGCCCTCAAACCGTGACGCTGTTGCAAACTTTGAAAACGAGTCTGCGCGGCGCTCAGGCGAGAGCCACACATTGGAAGCGGCCCACCCTCTATCTGTGAAGCTGTTTCAATGTACAAGCTTCAGGGTCACAAGTAGTCAGGAAGTCTCAAGCGAAACGCTCGGCCCGCCCTTCCGACCGTCCTCGGGGTGTGACAGGGGGAAATTATTTATAAGGAAAAAGGAATGGAGGAGGAGGAGGAGGAGGAGGAGGAGGACAAGGAGGAGGAGGAGGAGGAGGAGGAGGAGGAGGAGGATGAGGATAAGGAGGAGGATGTGAAGGAGGACGGGGAGGATGGGGAAGCCCTACATCGGTTCATTTCCAGAAAGGGAACCGCTTCGTTGGAAAGGCAACCGTTTGAAGACCCTGGCGCATGCCAAAACACTGTTCTCGGGATTCCAACGCCAAAGATCAACCTGACTCCTGAATTGTGCCAGAACGCCACTCCTGGGATTTCAACGCTGCGAATCAAAGTAACTGTTGCACCCTCATAGTCCCGAACCCTCCCAAAACATCATTTCTGGTACGTTGATCTTGGGAAACCATGAAAGTCTGGCAATACAAAAAACAGTTTACGCGACGCGAAAGCGACAACCACATTTTGAAGAGGAGCCGCCCTCAATCCGTGAAGCTCTTGCAACTTTTTACAACGAATGTGCGCGGCGCTAAAGCGAAAACCACGATGGCGACGATGATGGTGATGATGCTGATGATGAGCAGGAGGGGGAAGAGGAGGAGGAGGCGGGGGGGGGCAGGGGGAGGAGGAGGAGGAAGATGAGCAGAAGCATGCGGAAGAGGAAAAACGAGAGGGGGGGGGGGCGGAGGAGGAGGAATTCGAGGAGGAGGATGCGGAGGAGGCGGAGGAGGAGGAAGAGGAGGAGGAGGAGGAGTGGAATGATGAAGATAGTGATGATGATGCTGATGATGATGATTCCCCCCGGCTCGGTGACGCCGCATTCGTTGCGCTGTTGCCGTGGTCGACGGCCAATCTACAAGAGGAGGGATCGACGGGCGTTGCGGTGGGCGAAACCAGTGCAAGACTTCGGGCGCAAACGGAGCCGAACCAACTCTTGCCAGCGCAGGTTGGGCGCCAGGGTCGACATGCATTTTGAAGTTAGCCAGAGCTAGCAAGCAGGCAGAAGGAGGGATGGGGAGGCAAAGAGGAAAAGGAAGCGATCGATCGATCGCAGCTGCTAGGCTAGCCACCCAAGAGACAGGTGGGCGGCCAGGAGAAGCATCGAGCGGGGCGGCGCGCGGAGCCTCGACCATCATCGAGAACCTCGCGCGCGCGGGTGCACAGAACACGAGAGCGGGCGTGCCCGTGCCCAGCACCGGTAGCTGGGTTAACCCTTCTGGCGGGCTCGCGGGGTCCGCTGGAACCCTGCCCGAGAGAGCGCGGAAGAGGGGCGAGGCCCCGGTCGGAGCAAGCAAAAGGAGCAAGAGAGGCGAGAGAGGCGAAAGAGGCGAGACAGGCGAAAGAGGCGGGCGGTCCAAGGCAAAACGTCAGACCATATACTCCAGGAAACGTGAAACGGCAGGAACAAACAAAACAAAAACACTAAATCTCACAAGATATCAACCAGGGCACGGGCCGAAAGCAGCAAGAGAGGCGATAGAGCAGACGGCGGCGGCGCCCGCGACGGCGGCAGCCAGCGGCAGCGGCGGGGCAGGGGGGGCGGCAGCGAGGGGGGAGAAAGAACAAACAGGGCCCACTTAGCGTCCCTGGGAGACAAACATCTCTGCGCATAGGAGCCTCGACCATCATCGAGAACCTCGCGCATGCGGAACAGCCGACTGACCTAACCTCTGATGGCTCTCACAGCCGCGCGAATGGGAGGGCGCCGTTGCGTCGGGGGCCGCAAACGGCCCTCAAAGATCAACGCAAGCGAGGCTCCCCTTGGCACGAAGCGCTCAAGCAACGTGCAAAGTGCCGGGTCTCTGGGCTTGTCGGGCGCTCGACCATCTACGCAGCAGAGAACCGGGAACGGGTTGGCGAATCCGGGCGGGGAAAGGGGGGCGGCCCAGGACGAAGAGAGCTCCCGTACTTTCGGGCAGTGCAGGTCGGGGCACTGGTCATCTGCGGCCCCCAGGCAACCAACAACACGAGGTTTTGGGTGGGCGTGGAAACAGGCCGACGTCCAAAGCCCCCGACAAAGAATCCGAGGGACGGCGACCACTAAAAACGTCGAAACCGAATTGCAGACAGCGCGCATGCGTCTAGCGAAAGTGGGGGACCACGCAGAGGCAGGCGAGGGGGGGGCATCCGCTTCGGAACACGCCGCTCGCTGTCGTCTCGAAGAGGGTCGGGTCCAATGTCTGCGCGGAGAGACGACGCCAACTTCGCTTGGGAGACCAAGTAAGGTGCAGTGAGGTTAATCGCTCGAGCCCGAGGGGGATGCTCGGCATAGTTCTCGGCCATAAACGACAGGAACGAGTTAGCGAACCATGCGCGAGATAGCCGAAACGGATGCAAACCATTGGAGTTCTGCACAATCCCGTCTATGCGCCTCTGGTACCGACTCCATGCCTCCGAGTCCTGTGCTGTTCTGAACGCTGCAGCTTGGGACGCGTGGGACAGAGCCATGCATTGAGTGTTGCACCGCGCGTGCCCGAGAGACTTCATCATTCCTGCAGTGAAACTGTACCTCGGTCCAGCATGAAGGATCTGAAGAGCCCGTTCTTCCGTCTGCAGCAGCTGGGGGGTCGGCCTATGAAACTGCAAAGCGTAGCCCAGCACTGAAACAGCCCGAACACTGTAAGCTGCAACAGACTCAACTAGACCAGCGCCCACCAGACGGATCTTGCAGACTCGGCGGAATTTATCCTGCTGCGTGGGAAACGAGTGGAGGTGAGCATCGGGGCCCACGCTAATGCCAAGGTGCCTGCGCCACGTGACCGCAGAGAAACGCTCGCAGCCTCGTCCCAGAGATAGTGGCAACTGAGAGAACGTCTGGACTTGCTGCGGACAGACCACTAGGATAATGCATTTCCCAAAGTGCAACCCACGCCCGATAGCCCCAGCTAGAAGACGGAGCTTATCAAATAACGGAGACGCATCGGCAAGGATATTGGTTAGCCAGAACCTCAAGTCGTCGGCGTGCCCTGGGAGCCTGAAACCTGAGGGGCTCGCGGCATTCAGCCAGCGACGCGCTGGGTCTAGAGAGAGGGCAAACAGAAACATCGATGCAGGGCAACTCTGGCGAACGCCACGCCCGACCGAGAACTGGGCCAATGCGGCGCCGCAGAAATGGACCAGAGCGGCGTTGTCCTCATGTTGGTTGGAGAAGAATGTCACGGCCCACCTCGGAATGCACATTGTACTGAGGACGAAGAGCAGCCATTGGATCAGAAGCTCGGGGAAGCGGCGCGAATATCGGTAAAGAGCTGTTATGCTTTGTCTTGCCCCTCAAGGTGCGCGCAGACCCCATCTCCTTCGCGCTCAATGATGCTATCCAATATCGAGCGACCAGAGACGCCGCCAGTCTGACTGTCTAAGCTAGAGCGCTGACCCAGCAGAGAGAGAGGCCGGGCAATAGCAGAGGTGACCAACTTGCAGTCTGTGCAACCCATAGGGAGCGGACGAGTACTGGATGGCTTTCTAGCGGGCACCGCCGATGCATGTGTGGGGTGGCCCCCTCTGGCCAGGAAGACCATGAGCATCCGATGGAAGTTGGCAGGGCGGGGGTCATCAGGGTGAGCGATGCAATGCCGGTAGAAAGGGTAAAGCTTCTCCTGGGCCTCTGGAATCTTCCAGCAGCTATATGGCACCCCATCAGCACCCGGCATAGAATCCCCCGTGGCTTTCACCAAAGCAGCAAACGCTTCTTGATCCAGGAACCACTCCAGGTCAGGGTAAACGTCCGAAGCCTTCTGAATGAACGGTTCCAGGGAGTCCCAGAGAGAGAGAGAGAGAGAGAGAGAGAGAGAGAGAGAGAGAGAGAGAGAGAGAGAGAGAGAGAGAGAGAGAGAGAGAGAGAGAGAGAGAGAGAGAGAGAGAGAGAGAGAGAGAGAGAGAGAGAGAGAGAGAGAGAGAGAGAGAGAGAGAGAGAGAGAGAGAGAGAGAGAGAGAGAGAGAGAGAGAGAGAGAGAGAGAGAGAGAGAGAGAGGGAGAGAGAGAGAGAGAGAGAGAGAGAGAGCAAGCTCGTGC